AAAAAAAAACACAAATTGATAGTTATGTTCGCCAATGCACAGTGCAATCATGAGTTCTTGAAGCCTCATTTATCAAAGGTAAAACGTTTTGTTTCTAAGTGAAAAGAAACTCAAGATAAAACGGGAGCGCCTGAACCCTAACATGGGAAATAAAAACAATACTGACCGTAGGACTTTCTTCGTGAAATACCGAAATATTGACTGGATCACAGGCGGATCACCGTCCTTTATGGATGCCACCACATCCTTACCAACTTCCTAAACTCGTTTTTCTGGTCGGTAAAACTAATGAAACTAAGCAACTTACCCTGATAGCTTCATCGCGCGATATTTTGTCGTGTGACGGGTCAGTAAATATATAGTATAGTCGTTCTTCACAAAGTGCCCGTACTTCGTCTTGCAGCTCCTCGGGAAACGTCGGCTCTGAGAACTGAAGAAGGCTAGAAGCGCAATACCGACTCCAACTTCCCAAATTCCCCAAAACTCTTACCGCAGCTTTCTCTTTCCCCCCTAAGGCACGCAGCTCATCCATAGCAGAAATAAGCTTACTCGTTGCATTTAAACCCTCATCAACAGCCTCTTCGATCCTCTCTACTGGCAACTGCTTAAAAAAGTAAGAAAAAGTGAAAAATGATAGTAATAAAGAGAAGAAAAGAGCAGCACTTACGTCTCCATCCATTTCAATCATCACAGTCCTTTTATCATTGCATCCTGTTAGGAGTAAGTCGAGCCTTGATTCTTTTATAACTGATCGAGTAGGATTAAGGATCAGCTGAAGACGACCGCTTCAAAAAAATCAACAAATGCAAAAGCAAAAAGTTTTGATAGTAGATTTTTGACAGTTTTGGACCAGTGTTACTGATGCGGTATACGTCACCTTATCTCCAACAAGGGCAATACGTACAGCAGCAGCTGGGCCCAACCATGGGACAGCCGATGCATGAAGAGCGGAAGCCGCAGCATTCAGACCAAGTGATACAACATCTCCTTCGTCATCAATGGCCAAAGGCTTTACAACAATCTGAGTAAGAAAGTACACTGTACTCAGTGGCTGTGAAGAGATGTGGAGAGTCATTCACCTGCGTCTCATTTGTCCAACCTGGAGGAAAAAGTGGCCGAAGAGATCGGTCGATGACCCGCGACGCCAAGATATCAGCGTCAGACTGGCCAAGCTCTCGACGAAAGTAGTTGGTAGGGATTTTCCCAACTGCGGCAGCACTTTGCTTGAAGTCTACTAATAATGGGACGAAATCTTGACCTTGGCCCTCGCTCGATGATTGACGAAAAACACACGTGCTGAGGACCTGAGAATCTCGTAACAACTTAACCTGCGATATAACACTAAAAAAAGGTATACCGCGCTATCTCCCACAGATGCAACAACAGCACCAGAAGCAAATCTTGCCATGTGACCTAAACACTTCAAATAACATTCTCGTCTAAATTCAGTGTATCAACACTATAAGTGTTATTTTTTCAGCCTTTTATAGCATTTTAAAGTAGCTGAATGTATACCTGGTTATTTTTTACAATTGTTAGCTGCGTACTACGCGCCAAAACTCATGATTTGGTTCAAAACAGGTAAGCTTAGTTTTCGCAGGACAATCTCTCCAGAAATCTAGGGCAAGGTGTTTAATGTAAGAAGATAACTTACTTGAACTGGCTTATAAAAATCTGCATTAATAATCACAAGAAGAGAGGGTTGTGGTAGGGGCTGGAGATGGGGAAGTCGTTAAAAGGTCAGAAAGCACAAAAATTACCTTTGAATCGTACTTTTGCAAGAAGACAAATGCAAAAGGAGTCGTTGTCATAAATCGTGCATGATCCAGGTAAAAAAAGCAAATTGGCAGATGTTAGTTTCATGAACTCACCAGTAGTAAAAGTCAATGGTTCTCCATCCCCGATTTGTACAGCGACTGAGTGCTTCACACATCGCGAAAACGAACTAAACAGGCTTACTGAAACACTCTTAGATGGTGAATACCTTGCAGAAACTCACAGTAAGTGCTTAACACGTGAAAGTGTAAGTAATGGTCTACGTAAAAGAGGCATTCTTGTAAGTACGAGTACTTCCAATTTGTGCCAATTGAAGCTACTCTTTGATCTCTCATCCACTTCACTTCTGTAATCCTATCATACGAGATACAGATGCCAAAAATCATCTCTTACCCCTAGCTCTTCATGAAAATGAAGGTTGATTTCCATAAAGCAGGTAAAAGATGGTCGAATTATTCACCGCTCACCCGGCTAACGACTAAAATGAGAAATCTCAAAAACTGCAGATGTAAAAAAATTATTTCCGCACAAGTTGTGTAATTCTCCTACTGTACTAAGGAATAGTCAAATTTTTCTCTTGTACTTACAAAGTTAGACGCCAGACTCTGAAACATTTAAGAAAAATGGATTGAGCTTGCACATATGATATCTGAACACTTCTTCTTTTCTAAGATACGCTAGAAACATTTTGCAAGTAACTGATCAAACAATTGTTCCGAAACAGAAACTGCAGCAGTGAATGTAGTAAACGCAACCTACTACTGAGTAAGAGGAGCCAACTAATACAGTTGTGGTGCCAACCATAAAGAAAGGTTTACTTACGTTGAAAACTACTTTATTCATTCAGTAGAACAACATTTAACAGTAAACATGTTATGTTCTAGTAAATACACATCAACAAACTAAACCGAAAAGATGAACGTTATGAAGAGGACTCAAATTACACGGTAAAAAAATTTACCAAATAAGGCTCTTCGGAAATATCGCAGCTTCAACAAGTGTGATAATGACAAAAACGTATATGCGGTAGTACTCTAAAATGAATTAAAGTTCGGAGGAGATTTTAATCAGAATAAACCCATGAGCAGTTCAAATTACATTGAAGAATGTATGATATAAGTATAACTGAACGGAATGACTGACAACATCGATATGTGGTATCAAACACTGGCGTATCCTTGACGCTTGGCGCGAGCTCTTCCAATAAGATAGGCAACTAGCACAATGACAACGAGTCCAGCCAAACAAGCCCCAACAACAATCGGTACGATGTCAGAAGTACGAGAGTCAAGCAGACACTGCTCATAAACTAAAACGAATTATTCACAACAAAGCTAGTGTTTTGCAAAAGTTGAGATCGAACTCCTAATCATGCAAACTTCTCTAGCATTTGAAACAGTCATCTATATACTTTAAGGCTGTTTTCTGTAAATGTTCCATTATCTCCATTCCAATTAAGGATTGATGTCAATAGAGATTCATAGTAGGCACTGATGTAATGAACGCTTTGAAGGTCTATGGAAATCTTTAAAAAATAAGAATAAATATTGCAGCTATGCTCGAAACTGTTCCAAGGTGACGAGACGTAGTTCAAAAATAAGTGAAATACAGTTCTTGAAGCTAAGAAGTTATCCTTAACGAAACCATCAAACAGGTCACC